TTCTGTCATTGCTATCACCTCCATAATTATTCCTTAACTTTCACTCCGCCTCAGACTGCTTAAGACTGTAATTTCTTGAAAAACATCTTCCTCCTTCAGCATCTCTTCCAGTGGGGGGCACTTATCTATCAAACTTTTCAAAGTGAAAATTGTGCTAAACGTCCTTTTGGTGAAGTCCTTTTGCATCGCCCTGAAAGTCTCATTCTTACTTTCCAAGCACAGTTTAAAAAAAAATAAACAATTCTTTTACTGTTAGGCTTTTAAGCTTGCACATCTTTCATATTGGACTTGCCGTTTATCTGTTTTCTTAGACCGCACCCACCATGCTGAAGGTGTTTCACTGCACTAATTGGCCAAAGTCATGACTGAAATAGAGTTAAACTAACCAGGAGACTAAAAAAAGAAAAGAAAGGAAAATACAAACTCTTAAAATTAAACTTTGCATAAAAAACAGCAGAACAGCATTTCAGATGTATTACAAATGTTAAAAACTGGTGTTTTCACTGCAATGAGACAAAATAATTTGCATTCATTTCTGCAGATCAACTATTTCACTGGGCTATTTTGCACCGACTTTGCTCATTTGATGGCTTTTTGTCGGACGTCAGCTGCGAAGCATTTCCCCGGTGGGTTCTAGTTTTTCCCTTCACAGCTGACATTGAACATGGGCATTCATAAACCATCCAGCACTTGAGACTTTTCCTAAGACTTAACAATCCAGCCTGAGATCTCTCTTCCAGCTCTGTCCTTCTAACCTCTAGCTCACTTTATCTCTCGCTCTCCATCCCTCCCTCCCTGTCCAAAGCTGTCCTCCCAGCCATCTGTCATGTGATGTTTATAGGCCCTTTTGCTTTTGTGTCCTGATGACCACTGTCACAGAGAGCTACCCATTACCGATGCGCCCTGATGAACGATGTTACCCAGACGCATCGCTGACACCCTTGTGTCCTTGGCCGCAGAGATGCTGCCTCACTAGCCAACTCGGGCCAGTAAAGAATGAGGACGGGGAGGGACCTGGGGGAGCTGAGCTGAGGACCTGTCCGTCATCACACCGACAGGGTGTTCATATTTCCCCTTGTTCCCACCGCCATCTTTTCTTTTCCTCTTTATCCAGCCAATAGAAATGTGGGGTTGGTCAGCCTGGTGACGATGTTGCCATTAATCCTGCGGTGGTGAATAGCGCCCTTGCCTTTCACCTGAATGTATATCTACATCTGAACAGACCCAGCGAGGGACCCTCACTCCCCTCCTGAGGCCACAAAAGATGCCCCGAAGGGTCAATGTAGGCAGAAAGACATGATGAATGTTACCGAGTGTGATTTTATCTGTCAAATAGAAACATTAGTGCCCGTTTTGATCTTTTATGCACTATGTTTAAAGGTGGCACAGTGTGTTAGAATAATGTTTTATTACACTGTTATGATGGTTATAAATTAAAACTGTTCCAATGTTTTTTTTTTAGTATTAAATCATCATTGTTAAAAATGTGTGCTTTTTTTTGAGTTGCTCTTGAACTTGACCACTAGCACACAATTATCATTTGTCAAAAGTTACCTTGGTTACCATGCTTGATCTAAAAGCTTTTGGTTGTCCAACTCGGTGCTCTTTATTTAGGCAAAAATGTTCAGTTCAGGCAAAGCTTTGTGTAAAATATTTGTGCACGTCTAGTTTATGATATAAACATTTTAGCGTGAATTATGTGAATTGAACCTCACAAAGCGCAGTAAATGGAAATCATCTAAATCAGTTCAGTGTTTCTGCCTTTTAAATGATTCTACCTGGTGTTTCGAGGCTTTTGGCAGGTACGTTGCTGGAATCCTCTGGGAGAACTTGCAACAGCTCTTATGTGGATTTAGGATGTCTCAAAGTCTCTTCATGTAACTACACAGAGACGATTTTGAGATAAGGGCTCAGTGTGTGGAGTTTGTGCCATGTTTTGCAGGAGGCTGTCATGGTTTGGGGTTTTCATTATGGGTCTGGATCTTGTTTTCATTTTGTTTTTGTGTATTTATAGTCCTGTCGTTTTTTCACTCTTTGTGCCCCGTCTTTGTGTCTCTCCATTTCTACCAGTTTCCTCCTGTGTTGGTGGGTGTTAACTCTTTGCCCCTTTTGCTGCATGCTGTAACACTTCAAATCATCACTCCGCCACCACCGTGCTGGACAGCTGCTATGAGGTGTTTGTGCTGATATGTTGCGTTTGGTTGTAAATTATGGCCAAACATCTCTTCTTTTGTCTCATTTGTCCAAAGGACGTTGTCTAACATATCTTGTGGGTTATTCATAACTAAGCTGTGCTACCATCTTCCTTTTTTTAGGGATACAAAAGCTTTCTCTTTCCTCAACCTTTCCAAACAAGCTGCACTTTTTCAGTCTTTTTCTAATTCCTCTAACATGAACTTTTGCATTTGCTGACCGAGGTCTTCAGTCAGAGGTGTTGCTCTTGGGTTTTTTGCACTTTCTCATTGTACAGTCTGACCTAGGGGTGAATTTGCTGGGAAGATTGGCAAGTGTCTCGAATGTTTTGCTCTTGTGAAAAATGTTTTTTACTGAAGAATGATGAACTTCAAAATGTTTGAAAATTCCCTTATAACCCTTCATGAACTGCTGGGCTGCAACAATTAGTTCTCTAACATCATTGCTGATGTATTTCTTCCTCGGTACTACGTTAACACACCTGAATGCTGCAGCAAACTACCAAAACCTCTACTCTTATGCAGGTACTCACACTTTCTAACAATCAGTTAATCAAGTATCAAGTATTTGATTATCACCACCAGGCTGCTACTTAAGTTTGCACTTTTTTTTTTTAACACACTGCTTCTGCCTTTTGGCTTACTTTGTGTTAAATAAAGAATTCTGCAATATAATTTTTTTGTAGTTAATCAAAGTTTGTATTTACCTCATTTTAAGACCTGCTAAGATTATTTTTATTATGTCGGATTCTTAAAACCTTTAAAGAGGGTTTCCTTTCTCTCTTGTGCTACCTGGACTGTAGCAAAAGCTTTATTCTCATCACTAAAGAGACTTCAAGGTGATTCTTGTGAGAGCTGTGGAATATATAATATTGGGTGATTTATAAGAATCTAAACCTCTCAGGTGCACTTATTTTTGTATGGTATTATACAGTATCTTTGACATAAAGTTATATGTTTATAGCTATTGAAACATAAACCAGCAGTTCCCAAATCAAAGATCAGAATCTCAGTGATTGTTGAAAAACTTCTAGTACAAAAAAGAAAGAATTCGTAGTTTTTTTTTTCTCGGCAGACTTTTGTTTGTTCATTTCATTCTAGGATATTTAAAAAAGTCACTTTTCAAAGATTTCAGAAATATTCAAATGAACAGGAACTCTTCGGCTGATATATGCCAAGTGTAACTTTTGGTCATTAGAAGACATTGTTCCGTATTAACAAGCCACAGTTAAAATGTCACCTCATTTATCATCTAAAACCCATAAGCTTATTTTTTTATTTATTTTTTCAGGGAGGGTTTGGCATGGAAACCACTGAATCATAGTGACCATACACAAAAAAGATTATCCTTATTAAATGCAGTTGTTTGGAACAGAGGTTAAATGGATAATATGGTACAAAATGGGGAATTCTTAGAGCGGGAAGAAGGCTGCAGATAATCCTTTCACAATAGTGTAACATAATGTGAACAATCTGTTGGACAAAATAAAAACCTCATTTAATCAGTGGGGCCTTCTCTCCTCTTGTGTCACTGCTCCTCCCTTGCTCTCCCTCTCTCTCTCTGAACGTCTTTATTGGCCGGTGAAGCTGCTGATGAATTCTTAAGCAGATCACACTGATAATTGTATTTCATAACTGTCAGTTGTGCGAAGGCTGCCAGTGTGCCCAGGAGCTATTTGTGTCTCACTATGTCCTCCACAAACCTTCCCCCTCTCCCTCCTCCACACTTTGTCCAGCCCCCCCAATCACCAGGGATGTGCTTACTGTCTCCGGCCCCGAATTACTCAATCAGGAGGACACATTTACGGATGACACCTTTATTACAATTAATCACGAGAACTTGATTAAGAAAGTTATTCCTGCCCTTCATTGAGACTTACACAAGTGGTTCTGCTGCATATTGTAATTTATGTCCCACTGAGCTCTCCCTCCGCTGATAGACAGAGAAGCCGACAGACTGCCAGCCATACTGAGACGCGTGTGGACGCTTGTGGGTCTGTGTGCGAGGCTAGGCGCGGATGCGTGCATGGCTACATATCCTGAGACACATGCGCACAGCCACAAACACATCCCCCCTGTCATGCTGTCATGCACAACTCACAGGTTTTGCAAAGAGTTAAAATAAATGACTTTAATTGGCTGTAGAGACGTGCTCGCTAAAGGAGACTTGAATATTCCATTTCCCTTTCCTCTTGTCTTTTCTTTTCACTCTCCCTCTCTTTAACACATACCCCCCCCACCACACACACCGACACACACACACACTTGAATGAAGCCATCTCTTTACCTTTACTCACAGTTCCTGGGTCTGCTGTGGCTAATTAGTTGAGTGGGGTTTTAGGTTTGGTAATTAGGCGGAGGTAGGAGTGATGGGGGCTCAGGGAGTTGGGGAGTTGAGAGGGCCTGACTGACTTGCAAAGAAAGAAACTGGACTGTCTAGATCCTGGCAGCACCGAGCAGCCAGCCAGTGTCCCTTAGGTGCCTGGAGGTAGACTACCATCCCACACTAAAGAGGGTGATGTCTTTGTTATGTGCCACATATTCCAGCAAGAAGAAACTGTGAAAAAAAAGAGGATTTAGCAGGGAAAAAAAGGAACAAGAGGGAGACCTTTGAGAATTTTCCTACCCTGAATGTCAGCGTACAACAATAAAATCCGGCACCGCGCTGTTGTCTTGGATGGCAAATTAAAGTGGACTTGAGCGCTACAAAAAAAGTTGTGATCACCGCTAATTAATGTAAAGGTGGAAAAAAGAAGCAACGACTGAACATTTTTATTTCAAACGTAGAGTACATTTAACTTTATTGAGCTCGTGGCCACCATGGTCACAAGTGACAATTACTCCATAATTGCTGCATCAAAGTAAAGCACAAATAGCGAGGAAATATAACATAAGCAGACTGAGTGCACAGTGTTATACACTAAAGACTATATTTGGTTCTCTTCCATTAGCTTAAAGAAGTCAACTTTTAAAAGTCACACCAGAGTAAATATGACTGTAGTAGCAAAAATAGCCCTCAGTGTGCTTAATTTTCATGGATTCAGCTTGTTATTTCTGAATGTTTTCTCCTTAAATGTTACATAGTAGCTGTTGTAGTAAATGTAAAATAAAACTACAATCTTATGCCATCTGAAATGCTACACAGTAGCTAGTACACAAGGTAAATTCCTGGGAATAGATGGCGATCCAATGGAGGCAACACATTCAACTTTTTCCAATGTTATAAATTCCTATGCAATCAGTTTGATAATACTTGCGATAATCAGTATATTACATTTGCATTGCATGCATTACAATGTCATCCGCATTCACATTAAAGGGAAAATGAAGTTTACCCTTCATTCCTTCCATGTACATCACCTATTTAAGTTTGTGTGTTAGTGTTTGTCCCTTCTGAGGAGCAGCAACAAAACTAAAATGAGAGAGACACTTAGCATGATTTCTAATTTCTTGATTTTTTTCTCCTTTCTTTCACCACCTCACAGCAGCCGGTGAATACTTTTCTAGAAGACCTTCACCATCTTTAATGTCTTGTTTACACTCTGCAGTTCCAGGTTGCTTCAATACGATGCCAGTTAGCAGCCTAGGACTGCAACACAATCCAATTAAATAAAGAGTGTTGTCTCTCCAGGTTCCTGTGTTCTCTAATTGGGGCTGTGACTGCTCACTAATCAGTGGAGGTACAGGTAGGCCCCGGAGGACGGCGAGACAGGGCCTCTCCTGTTAATTGAAGAGATGCTACACCCGGCCTCCTCCTTCTCCTCATAGTCCAACATGGATGCACAGGAGTACTGACGCATGCTAAATTCGTCTACGCACCCACGTGCATCATCACTCCTCTCACCTTTTGTGTGGCCGGCATGTAAGAGCTTGCTTTTCTTTTTTCATTTTAACTCCTGAGCAAGCAGTGGTGTTAAGAGGTGACTGGCAGTCATTTAAAGTGTGTTTGCTCTCTTGGTCACTTACGCCTATGCAATTCCCAGTACTTCCATTTCTGCTTTAATTATATCCATAAAAAATCTTTAAAAACATTTTTTTAAACTGTGCAATCAAAGTTGAACTTTCATGGGTAAAAAATTGTTTTTATTCTGACCCGAGAGGCTTTAGATCACAGATGTGGTGCTTTAAATACTGAATAAATGAGTGCAAAAACGTCACATCCGTGATTTAAGTAAATAATTTTTAACCTAAATTTGTAAGAGCAAGCTACACAAAAACATGGCAAGCATCGACTAGCGTGAGTCATCCAACTCCAACTGTAACAGAAACAATGATTAACATGCACACATATTTTTAAGCAGCTAAAAATAGTTGTTTTTTTAAAAAAAACCTAACAGCTACTCGGAAAATTGAAAATAACCGTGCACGTAAGACATTACGGGCCTGACTCAAAGCAACAAACATACCTACGGTGTCTCTTGCTGACACAGGCTGTGGCGTACGTGTGAGTGACTTTGAGAGGTGTTCTGACTTGCTCCACTACGGATTCAGAACCGCCTTGGCCTGGTGTGTTTCTGATTTCCTGCACCGTCTGGTGAAGGTAGCAGCTTTGCATGCTGGGGTCACACCTGTAACGTATTTCACACTGGGTTATATTTTGAGTAGCCACCTGGATGAGGAAATAACGTGTTCACGGTGCATGAAGACTACAGCCATCCCTGCCAGGTAGGAACAGGTGTTTGTTTAAAATGACACACAGTGCAGTAATCCAACACGGACTGTTATAAGCATCTCTTGTCCATTTCCTGCTTTTGGAGTGGTTTAACAGTACACTGCTGAAGTTGGGACTCTGAAAACTTTTTTTAAGCTCAATAAGGCTTTCAAAGTTGAAAGAAACACTAAAGTTTTATCTTTGGGTTTTATAAAAATGAGTGCAATGTGATTAAACTTTAAATGGTATTTTTTAAGACTTTGTTGTTTCAAAAAGCCAAATTAAATTCAAAAAAATGGAAATGGAAAAAAAAAAACGTGTCAAAGGGCATATCGCAGAGCATTCACTATGAGTGATTTTTTTTTTTTTTTTACTCACAGTGGAAGAAAATAATGACATTTTCTAGCCCAACTCCTGGTTAGCTGGACTAATTTTTTTTTTATTATGTGCAGCTTCGGGGCATGTGAATGAAAAGATTGATTGTGTGAATGCCGTTTCTGTCAGCCACAAACAGGCAATGAAATGCCAAGCACACCTGGAGCAGCACTCACTTTTGACAAGCACATACCAATGTAAGGCCCTATTAGAAAAACAATGAAGTCTATCATAAAACATTTATGGTAGATAAAGTGCTCGAGAGCGCCAAAAGCAAGCGCATTATGGCAGCAGGTCTAACATGATTTCGGAGGTGGACGGAAGGTGTGGGGGAGGTGAAAAAAACCTTAGCTTTTGTTTCCGAGTTTCAATATGTGGTGACTTTTGATTAGCACACACTTATTTAAAACTTTAAATATTTTATATTAAATTCTGTGCTGAATATATTCACGACTGAGTGCATGTGCACATAAAAAAGCAAAAACAACCCCAAAGCACTTTCCAAAGTTGCTGTATGTTTATTCATGACATTATTTTTAGTTACTGGGCTGTATCATAAGTCATTTTACAAAAATAAAGAGCTTTTCCGTGGTTAAAAATCCTTCATTAAACTATACATATATATATATTACTGATTGAATCATTGTAATTTTAAGTATGATTTCTTAAGTGCATCTACAATCAGTTAAATCACAGCTTGCTATTACTAACAGACGGTGGTGCCACTTCCACCACGACTTTGCCCAGGTTTCTCCCTGCATACATGTAGTCCACTGCCCGGAAAACCGCATCCAAGCCTACAAATTTCCCCTCCTCTGCCAAATCACCGCAATCCACCTCACACACTAGCTTCCCTTTGGCAAACATCTGAATCATGCTACTCAGAGCCTCCCTGTAGTCACCTAAGAAGTGGGGCAAGAAGAAACCCCGAATGCTGGCCGACTTCTGGAGTAGCTTGACTGGTAGCGTTCCTCCTTTGAAAGGTGGGATCCCTGAAGCGCTCTGGTACCCTGAGATGAAGCCAATCACTATCAGCCGGCCTTTATTGGCCAGACTGTTTACTGCGAGCTCTAAGACGCTCCCTCCGACTGACTCATAGACCACGTCTATGCCTTGTGGATACTCTTTCCTCAGGGTCTTAGCCAAGTCTTCAGCGGTGTAGTTGATCGGCCTGTCGCAGCCGATGGATTTGAGGAAACCGGCTTTCTCGTTGGTCGAGCAGGTCCCAATGACATGGCAACCAGCCTGCTTGGCAAACTGCACAGCAAACTGTCCCGTTCCTCCTGCGGCCGCCGTGACCAGGACAGTCTCACCTTTAGCCAGGTCGCCCAGACGTTTTAAGGCTATATAAGCCGTGGCGCCGCTGACCAAAAGGGTGAGGAACTCTGGCTTCACCGCAGGAACAGGCACAGCTTCCTTGGCTGGGACCACCGTGTACTCGGCAAACGCGCCACTGCCGAAGTAGGCCACAGTATCCCCGACGGTGTAGCGGGAGCTCGCGCTAAGGCCAAGGCCGACAACCTCCCCAATGCCCTCAAAACCTGCATCAAAGGGAGGCTTCACCGAAGGGTCGTAACGGCCCGCTGAGTAATTAATGTCTGAGGCGTTGATTCCCACAAAACTGAAACACAAGAGAAAAATAATTGAGGATTAAAAGTTAGGGAAATAAACCTGCTACATCAGCATGTGCTGAGCAAAATGGATACATTAACATTGCATTTCAGTTAACGGGGTTTTATGCGGTTATTAGCGTAAGCACATATTTCCTGAAATCCTGTATGAAGGTCAACTTCCTTGTTGTGCAGACGGGCGCGCACAGGGCCAAAACACTTTGGTTTGTTTTGGCAATGAGTTATTTTTTCTCTTTTCCTTCTCTTTGCTCGGAAAGAAAAGTCCTGCACTGACAGGGAAAGGTTTGTATCACAAAACGCATTGCATGATGTCATGATTCATTGTCTTCAGAGACACCCACAACAAACTGCACTTTAAAAAAAAATAAAAATTCAGATAGCTGCTTCTTGCCTCAACATGAAGACGGTTGTTTTCATCTTACTTTTGTAACATGCTGGAAACAAATATGTGAGAAAGGAACGTATAAATAAATCATTTACTGTCTTTTAGAGCGGCACGCACGCTGTGCCTCATTACCGTGCATGTCACACGTGTACTTTGAGCTCCCAGATAATGCTTCTGTGGTTTATAGATGGGTGGCGACGATATAACAAAACGCCTTGGTTTGACTTCTTCACATCTATGGAATCAGTTTCCTCGCAGCGACGTATTATTTTATTATCAAAAAAGGTACAAACTGTTTGCATGTGCATAAACTAGCAAGGCGTCTGAGTTTAAATAACACTCCAAATTAGCAGGGGATCTGTAACAATAAAGTCTCAGTCTGTGCAAGCCTAAGCCCTGGAAAAACTTTTCAAACAGGTAACACAGGTTTGGCCAAAATGCTCTGTTAAATGATAGCAAGCCTAATAATTTGACACTGGTTCCACTGAAATTACAAAATAAGATACAGTGTATTGATAAACGCTATACTTGGGGATAAAAAATAAATCTCTTATTTATGTCTCTCAAGAATTAATGAAAGTCCAGAAAACTACAAAAACTCACATCTTGCAATTTTATACGACTTATCTTTTGCATGTGCGTGACCAAATTTTTGTGCACATGTGGCTCAGATAAGATGCTGAGGGACACCTGGACTCTTGGAAGTGAAGGGTTTTAGTACATGTAAAAAAAATGTCTGCACGCATTTATTTTTAAAATTTACTATATATATATATATATATATATATATGTGTGTGTGTGTGTGTGTATATGTGCGTGTGCATATATATATATATATATATATATACATATACACACACACACACGCACATATACACACACACACACACACACACATATATATATATATATATATATATATATATATATATATATATATATATAAAAACCTCAGTCTCTTCTTTTCACTGCAGCTATGATTTTTTTTTTTAAATAAAAACCGCTCACAATCTTCTGTATTTTATATTCCTTTAAAATTTCTCTTACACCGTGCAAAACGGGACAAAGTGTTCTCTGGTTTACTTTCCCCTGTCAGTTAAAACATTTTCCCATGACTGTGATGCATCACTGACACAGACGACACAGACGACCCAGACGGTCAAGGGTCTCGGTGCACCAAGCGACTGTCTTACAAGCTAATAAGATCCTAATGTTGTACGTTTTACACTCAGTCTCGGGGAGGACTGTATTTTATTGGCAGTAAATACAACAGTAAACCCCGAGGTGGACTGATGTAAAGCTGACTTAACATTAAAAACTACATAAGGCGCACACAGCCAGCAATGTTGTAGGAACCTGAAAGCAGAGTGAGGTGGAATCAGAAATTTATGCAGAAATTCAACTATTAAAAAAAAAAAGCATTAATGTATGTTTTTTGGCTTTAATTTCATTTATCTGTTACTGTAATAATGTCGACTCTGTTCACGCACAACAGAGCCCGTACAACAGACTCCTGGATCCACTCTGCCTTCTGCTGCTGTGAATGAAAGAAATGATGCTGCAATTCCAGCGCCGTGTAGCACTCCCATCGCCTTCTCCATCATCTCCATCTCTTGATGCCAGCCTGAGCCCCCCCATGACTTTCTGTTTGCAGGTTGGTGACGTAGAGAGACAGGACAGAGAGAGAGAGAGGGAGAGAGAGAGAGAGAGAGAGAGAGAGAGCAGGGGAGAGAGAGCGATAGAAGAGAGAGAGAGATGCCGAGATGGATTGATAGACAAATGCAGAGAGGGCGGAACTTGGAATTACAGTACAGCGCTTATTCCTCACGTATTTTTCCATCTTGTGGCGATGATGATGATGATGATGATGATAATGATGAGGGTGATCGCAGGTGCTGGACATGGGTGATTCGAGGTAAGCGGAGCCGTTTAATAACTTCTCAACAATCTCCTGACAGATCGGCATTTTAAAAAAAGAAAAAGAAAGAAAAGAAAGAAGACGCTTCGGGTCACCTAACGCTTTCCCGACCGACAGAAAAACAGAGTCCGTGTGTTCCCACCGTCACCAAAATTAACTTACCGATTTCTGACCAGCAAGTCCGCGTCTCCGGGTGTCGGAACGGCCACGGTTTGCGTAGAAACGGCCTCTCTGAAATTCGGGCTGAGCTTGGTGACTACCAGCTTTTTCATACTGCTCGCTATGGAGGATCCTTTAAAATCCATGAAGTGCGCCGAGTAGGACATATCTACGATGAACCGCCTCGCAGCCAGATGAACTCCTGAAAGTGTGTCGGTGCCTCTGCGCCCCCCGTAGATTAGCGGTAGTGCTCTCCTGCCGTTTCTCGCCAACAGCGCCCTGGACATGATTCCGAAATGTGACAAAGTTCACGACCAAACTTGACGCGTGCTCGTGCCTGTGATTAGGTCGATCAGGTGCCATTAGCCTGCACCACAAGCCTCCCCTCTGCACACGCACGGCGTGCAGGCCAGGCCCGGGCCAGGCTGAGCCGAGCCAAACGAGCTTTTAGACCAAAAATAAAAAAAACAGGGGGGGAGAAAAAAAGCGCGATGCGTCGTAGCGTGACTCTTACGCAAAGCAAACAAGCGGGGGATCGAGTTTAGGATTAAAACATTGCACTGGTGCAGCCCCAGCGTGGAGCACAGCAGCGCCTCAGACTTGTCGTCGGGAGTCCCTCCCCTTCCCGGACACAACACTCACTTCCTACTAAGGTGAAACAAATCAATCCTCGTCTCCCCACACAGGCTATCCTCAGCCGTTTCACTCCCACGAAAAGAACGCCAACCCATCGGATCTTTTCCCAACACCTACAAATAACAACAAAAATCACGGTCCGAGCGTGCACTACGACTGCGCTCCCGTTTGACTGGCGCCTTTCCCCCCTTTTCTTCCTAATACTAAATGTTTTGAGCGTCATAGGGAGATGTTTCTGCCCACACTACACCTGTAACCAAAAAGCTCCCACAGGCGATTTGTGAAAGTGTCTTGTTTTCATCTCATTCCATTATTTGTTTCTTTATTTATTTTGCCTGCTCCTTCCATGCAGCTGTGTTATCGTCTGTTGTCATCTGACTGTCATTTTTCTGGAAGGATCTATTCTTAACAGAGCTGCCGGAGCGCACTGGGGGACATTAAAGCGTCAGCGGAGCAAGAGTCGTGCCCTAACTCGTGCCGTGTCACTACCAGGCGATCTTAAGATGTCACCTGGGTTGCAAAAAGCTCAGACTTAAGTAGTGAGCCTTGTTGTTTTTGATAGTTTGCAAGAGGCATTGGGATAAGTTTGGTTTTGTTAGCTGATCTCGCAGTAAGTTTTGAGAGGATCATATCCTTTTGTCGGAGGTTTGGCTTCTTTTTTAAGCAAAGGGAGAAGGAGAGAGAGAGAGAGAGAGAGAGAGAGGGGGAAAACAAGACAATTAAAAAGATTGACAGGTAGGCTCCTCTGTCAGGGGTGACGCTTGTGGAGAGGGGAGGAGTAAAAATGTAGCAGGAAAAGCCACTCGATGCGTCTGTCTATCAGTTGAGACTGTCTGAAACAGCTTCTGGATCCGCCGCGTTCCCATTTTTTTCTTTTTTTTGAGAGACCGCGGATCAGTCCCTGGAGTTTTTGCCCCCCGTCTTGTTTTTTTTTTGGGCTTTTTCAAGAGACAAATATTTTAGTCCATGTCGATCTGATCTGTTGTTGGCGAAGCTTGGATGCGCCTGCGTCTTGTTTCCCCTCTCTCTCAAGTGATATCCTCTCCACCGCATCAACCAACCCTCCAAAAAAAAAAAACCAAAAAAAAAAACCCGACTCTGTCCAACATGCGATCAGATGAGCGGTGAAAATCATTTCCACGACTCTTAAAACGTAAGTACAAGAGAAAGCCTACTCGTCTCCATTTATTTTATTTAATTATTTTCCCCCTTCTGTGGGAGAGAAAGAGGGCAGAAGGGGAGGGAGGAAAAAAGTCTCCGCCGGACTGGTGAGGCTGGATCCGGGCTGAGGTGGCGTGGTGGTGACGGGATTGACATTAACCCATCTAATGCCTGTCTATCTCTCTTCTCCTTTCCCATTCTCTCTCTTTCAGGTCTGTGGCAAAAGAACGGAAGGAAACACAAGGATACATTACTTATCAGAGGTGTGCACTCGGGACTTATTTGTTTGGTTACCGCCAGAAATCTCTTTCTTTTCTTTTTTCTTTTTAGTTTTGGTGTGCGTAAAAGGCGCAGCAAACTATCGTCCCCCTCCAAACAGCACTGGAGATTAGGGGGATTTTTTTTGTTTTTCCCCCAAAGGGAGTGAACCGAAAACTTGGGTTTTAAGGTGCTGTTTTTTTTTTTTTGCTTCTTTTCGTACTCTGCCACGAGAGAGATGAAGGAAGATGATTTTTAATGGAAGTGAAGGTGTCAGGAGCTGGCCGAATCCCTTCGTAATTTTTGAGCTCAGTCTCGCTGAAGCCGACCCAGCTATCACATCCAAAAAAGAGCAGCCGGTTTGAAGAGACATTCTCAGCTCAGAGATCAACAACACCCCTCCCCCGAAAAACGGGATGATTTTTCAAAACTGATAAGACTCCATTTGTTTGTAATTCCTGCATGAGAAGTACCGTGGAACGCGACGGTCACTATGCCGAGGAGAAAGCAGCAAGAGCCGCGGCGATCAGCAGGTATAACCCGCCCCTCCATTACGACCATTTCCCATCCCAGTAACCAACTAGTTTTTATTTCCAAGTGCCAATTGGAAGTCTCTCCTTCCACCTTTTTTTTCTTTAGCAGGACTGCATGCTGCGATTTATTACTATTATTATTATTATTTTACAACTTATGGTTTAAATCAATTTATTTGTGTTAATAACACAGCGCACAACTCACCCCTGGACACACTGTTGTGTTTAAAATGTATCTAATTGCGCAAATGACGCACGTATCTGCGCAATGCCACTTTGAGATTTTTTTTTAAATCCTCCGGTGCCAGGAAAGTTCTATTAAGAATGGTGAGATAAACTAAATGGCATGTTATGGGGATAAAAGGGAGTTTTTGAGGTTCAAGAGTGAGTAATGATGAATAATTGACTGGGAAAGAAAGGGGGGAGAAAAACGGGCGAGAGCTGGTTTTTCCTTTCTTTTTTATTTTATTAGAGGATTGCCACCCTTGATTTGATGCGTGATTGATCGTCTGTCATGTGGCAGTCTTTGATCTATTCATCCCTGATAAACATCAATAAATCCCTCCATGAAGACAAGCATGCTTCTGGTAGCCACTCAAATGCACAACCCTGCTTTTAACCAGGAACTGAAAAGCAAAGACAAAAAGGAAGAAAAAGAAAAAAGGATAAAGAAGAAAGTTGGGAATTGTGGTTGAAAAAATCACCTTATTTCTTCAAATGTGTATGCACAGAAAGCAGATGAAAGCACTGTGTGTATGTTCAATTGCAAGAAATTCCCCAACACTCTTTAAAAAGAACAGGTATTTGAATTCTCCTCCTCTTCCTATATATTCTTAGATGAAAATATGGAAGGTTCTGGCTGTCCTCGTCCGAAATATTCCTCCCTTATTCGCTGCAAGAATCAGCCCACAGCTGAGGTCCACTGCTGGATATGATTTTTATAATGTGACCAACTGATAAAACCAGGTGTTGGCAGAGGACCGACAAGGTTGACTTCTAGTGGTTTGGATGTGGACTCCCCCTTTTTCCTCTTGTCTCCCTGCAGCCTTTAAACAAATGTAAATGAGTGACAGGGGTTTCTACCTCTGTGCTAATGAGGCCGAGCCTTTGAAGTTAGGCATTAACAACTGGAGTGAACAAAAGACAGTTACAGAATTTTAAAGAGATTTTGAAATATGAGGTGCAAAGCGGGTCGAACAGGAGGGCCAGCCGACGAAGACTTTGAACTCAGCAGGTTTTATCATTTTAAACAGAGAGCTTGCGATGATGAAGATGATGGTGGTGGTGATGATGAGGATGAGGAGGAGGATGAGAAGGAGTGTAGGACGGATGAACATTCAACCGGTGCTCGCTGTTAACTTCGCCTTTTCTCGTTTGCCTTTGTGGCAACCTGTAATATGTTTTCTGGCCCACACCGCGAAGCAAGAATCGAGTTTTATATACCGAGTCTCGCTGTACCTTTCTGCATTTGTGTGTGTGAGACGGAGAGAACAGTCACCGCTGTTGCTTTGGCAAAATATCCCCCTGGAAAAGGTTGGCCACGATGGGAGCAGAGGGACTCCCGTTAGGTTTCTGCATGTAGATGGAGGCATGAAAAACATGACATCTCTGTGACCCCTCCCTTCCCCTCCTTTCTCCTGCCACACACACACCACACACACATACACACAAACCATTGATCCATTACAACGTCCACTGAGTGCCATGCACATCATGGGTTGTAATGGTCAATCACAGCTTGGCAAACGGGATGTTTTCCATTCTTTCACGAACACGATGGCCGGTCAGAGATAACGCCCTCCACTCCACGCTTCCAGAAGCGACTGACTAACACGCAATCACGCTGATACGCATGCACACACCGACTTACACACCAGGCTAGCCCGATGCTCCACTGGGAGCTCGTACTGACCTGTGGCTTCCTCTGTGTGCTACTGCTCAAAGAGGAAATAGCTCATAGTGGGACTAGGCATGGAAATCAGGAGTCAGACAATTAAAACAACAATAGCAGACTTGTGTGGACGGCCTATTTTTTTCATTCTCACTTTGTAAAGCTTGTGGAGACTTTTATTAGGTGCGTTATGTTTCGAGGCCGCACCATGCAAAGTTATATTTTGCAAATCAGAAACAGCAAAAGATTTTCTTAACAGTTTCGTTTCTTTGAGTTACATAATCAGATGTGCACATTTCCCTGTTAATTTTCATACACAGTGCACTTCTTAGGCAGCTTCTTGGCAAAGAATTTTCGGGTTGCTTGAGCTTCTCATGTTAAAACTTTTCTTTGATCAGGTTGTTAATCGATTGCTTTATTTTGCAGTAAATTTTACAATTTCCGCAATTTTTTTTTAAACAATAAATTTTGTGTTTTGTTTTGCTTTTAAGAAAATTATCACAGGATTTCTTAGGATCATTTTGAAGTATCTGCATGTGTGTGTGTGTGTGTGTGTGTGTGTGTGTGTGTGACACTGCTGTTTAGATGACAAAAAACCCCATTAATGACATATTCCACCGATGGAATGAAAACGCAGCACTCGTTGTCATGCTTCCTGTTGCTTTATAATTTTCATCAGGAAATTCACACGCAGGAATTCCAGAACATGGAAACCAAGATGTGAAGAAACTTTGCAAACCTGAATCAGCAAGTTTGTGAAACTATATATATACACACACACCCTGGTGTTCTTGTTTGTGCAAAGATGGATGTTGTGCATTACTACGTGCACCTCGTACAGTCGATGCCTTGATTTAAAGGTAAAGAGGCCAGGAGGAAAAACCAAAAAAAGTAAAGGACAGAAAGCAGTGACGCCGCCTTTCATGGTAGGCAGGCTTGCATAGTCTTACATGAGGAAGACGAGGGAAAAGAGACGACGAGATAGTCGCTCTTGTTCCGTTGCATGATGGTTAATTATAAGAGAAACGGTGTGTGTGTGTATAGAGTGGGGAAGGGGTGGTGGTGGTGGGGGTAAGGTTGCATCCCGTTGGCTTCATTAGAGAGAGCCCTAATTATCTGTGGAGCTGATGGATTTGTGACAGGC